GATTTAAATATTCAACGAAGAATTGTGTCATCTTATTTTCTCTTCTTTGTATAATATTTTTATCAATCAATTAATACATACATGTTTTGAACAACTGTATTAAAATACATTATGTAAAAATATTGATCTCAACTGAGTTAAACGTGACGCTTTCAGGTAAAAATGCAAATACAAACGTGGGTCGTTGAATCTAAAATCGTGAATGAAGTCGATTTTCTGTCAATTGCGACGTTTCTTAGCATGCTTCCGCAGAGGAAACGCATTGAAGATTTACACGTCTTGTTGAAAACCATGCACAGGTATATCTATTTCTATCAAATGTTCGTGTTATAATAGTCTTTAATTTATAACAAATGGACAATAAGTAATATAATGCTGCAGATTTCAAGGAATAGACATCGCTTTACTCGCTCATGATTGATGAATAAAGATATTCGACACGTGATACATTAAACTTACTATATGTCTGTCTATCTGTTTCGTAGATGCATAACGAAAACTGGGGATTGCATTTGGCATAGGACATACAGGAGAGCCGTGAAACACGTTCAACGTTATATGCAGATCGAGTACAATAACAATCTAATGGTACCATTGATCAAATGTAATGATTCGAGATGTAATAACGGTGATTGAACAAAATAGCGGAAATTTAATAAATTAATACTTTTACAATGGGTGTGTCGTATAAGAAAACCTATTTACAAGCAAACACGATACTTACCTTTAAGATTTCAATCGAACGCAAATGCCATTCTTTGCCCTAGTGAAGCCAGTAATACACGACTTTAACGCATGCCTTTGAAGTCTGTTCAAAGGTCTTGTATAAATTAGTAAGAAGTCATCAACCTCGAATTCGTGTCTTTCGTAATATATATATATTTTTTTTAAATATACTTTTTCACTTTGTAGACGTTACGCGCACATGGGTTGGTGAAAAAATAGAAAGGAGCCAGGATGAGCGTTTACTACTCCCATTCGGTTGTTCCCGGTGGTTTAGACGTTAGATCATATAAAACGCGTGAGATTCCGGGCACCGTAGATATTTCAGTTACCATTTTTTTCACCACCTGCAAAACACAATCGAAGTCAATTGCGGATATTTATTTTTAACATATACTCTAAGTCAGAGATGGAAATTAGTTACAACTTTCGGCTCGATTTTCTGATTAACGCCTCCTTCCCCCTTCTTGCCGCTCGCATGCTAACAATGAGTCAACAAACGTGCTAACATCCATAACTAAGGTATGCGATACTCAGCCTCAGGAATGTCCATATCACAAATGCAACAAGATAATAAATATGGGATAAATATAGATTTCCACATCACCTGTGAGGCACTATTGTTGAAGAACGCGTTAATAATAGTACCTCACAGGTGATATGGAAATCTATTGTCTCATATTTATCATCTTGTTGCATTTGTGATATGGACATTCCTGAGGCTGAGTATCGTGCAAGGAGGGGACAGTGGGCGTCAATCAGAAAATCGAGCCGAAAGTTGCAATTCCCATCTCTGCTCTAAGTAGATAAAATTTTCAATTAGATGTACAATTTTTTTTATGCACATAAATGCGAGTATAGTGTTAAATATTTGACATATCTTACAAGTATGTATGACAATCTTATAAATATCGTATTATGAATATGGAAAGAGAGCGAACTTACGTGTATTGGTAAATCCTTGCCGGGAATGGCGGGTATGCCAGTCATGAAATCATTAGTACAGAACGGCCTAAGCACTACGGAACGTTGACAGGATAGCGTTCGACATGCCGTGTCGCGGTCGAAATGTATCGGGATTAGAATAACGGGCATTTGGCTGATCGCTCCCATACAGCCGTTCGAAGCTAACACTTGATTAGCTAAGTGGTCCGCCTGTCGTAAAGTCGCTATCACATTCGACGTGAGATACGTGGGCGTGATATCCTGGATCGGATGATGAAGTTGCGGCCCGAAAATGTAGCACACGCGATTCACGTTGTGACACACGCGTGGGATTAATTTCGCGAGGAATAACATATCTTCCCATTCCACTCCCTCGGACACGGTTTCTTCGCACGATAAACCCACCACGTAGTTGTAACTCCTTCGATCGCCCTGTAAAGTTTATAAATGCTTTTAGCAAAATGGAAAGAAAACCCAATATTTTATTGGACTTCCATTGCAATGCGATTTTCAAGTACCTGAACTCCTACGCTACGAATAGGCAAGAGAGTCGCCGCAATGTGACGATGACTCGAGACCCTACGGAGTTGCTGGCGCTCGGCTTCAGTCGTCGCGCCTTCCACGCGATTTAACAATGCGTGCTTTTTCTGAAGCATCTGTTCGTACTCGGCCATTATTTTTACTATGACCTGCGAACAGCAAGCAAACACAAATGCATCTCACATTAGCTTATCGAAGACTTTAAGCATAAAATTGTATGATTCAATATTTATTTCGCGCTTGTAATACCTGCGTTTCGGAAAAATCTCTCTCTATATAGGGTTCGTCCGCGCAAAGAATTCGCACTGCAAGGCCTGGGCCGGGAAATGGATGGCGCGCAACGAGCGCCGCCGGCAAGCCGAGATCGCAACCCAATTGTCGCACTTCGTCTTTATGAAAGTCTTTTAACGGTTCAACCACGTGTCCTTGCGCTCGTAGCACTCGCACAAGCTCGCTGTCGTTATGGTGTGTCTTTATGGCATCTGCTTTACCTAATAAACAGATAAAATGCACATTATTGCAGTATGAGAAAAGGCATAGGAATTAATTAAGAATCCTAGAAATAGAAATTTACCACTGACTAAGGCGCTTGCACTTTCTATAAGATCGGGCCTAAGAGTGCCTTGCCCGAGAAAAACGTCTTCCGGTTTCAAACCCATTTCCGTCATCGCTTCGTTCGCGACTCTTACGAAAACATCTCCTATAATCTTCCGTTTCTCCTCGGGATTGGTTGTTTCGCATAACATCTTAGTTAACCTGGTTCTCGGGCTACTCGCTGTACCGCATATTCCTTTATTATTCGTAACATTGGCATTCATGGGTGCGACATTGTCCAACGGAACAGTCGTTGTGCCCTGCATGAAGTAGCGACTGGCATTCACTACTCTTAATGTAACACACAGTTGGGCTAAACTTTGTTCCACGAATTGCGTTTCTCCCTTACGCATGAAGCCATTATTAATGTGTAGAGCTATAACTTGCTCTTTGTTTAAAGCTTTTTGTAACAGAGCTGCGCACACCGTCGAGTCCACGCCGCCGCTCACCAATAACTGTAACAGTTGACAAACAAATTCGTGGATAAAAATATTTCACGCATTTTGAGAGTTTGATTTCCAATGCGGATTAAAGTGATTAATTGCTTACCAAAACCTTTTTGTCGCCTACAGTATTTCTGATATATTGGATACATTGCATCTCCCGATCGCGGAGCGTGTAATTACCCGTAAGGCCAGCGATACCAAATAAAAAGTTACGTAGCATCGATTTTCCGTTAGGCGTTAGATCTACCTCTGGATGAAATTGCACGCCGTATAAATTCATTTTATCGCTCGCTATACCCGCTATAAAGCTTGATGATCTGGCAGTAGTACGAAAGCAGTCAGCTACCCTATCTATGCTATCTCCATGTGTTAATAGTACCATTTGTTCCTTGTCCAAGCCCCTAATACACAATTTATACACTTATTGCATGTTTCAAATGTTTAGAAAATGTTTAAAATGTTTTTTTTTTTATTATTCAAACAAATAATCAAATACTTTTAAACGTAATTGCGATTTACATACTTAAATAACAGGCACTTGGTATCAATTTCAACTGGAAATTGGCCATCCTCTCGACTTTCTCTTCTGGTTACAGTACCGCCAAATTCCTTGTTCATCATCTGCATCCCATAACAAATACCTAGTACGGGAATTCCTATTCGAAAAATGTCAGCATCATACCTAGGTGCATCTTCGGCATATACTGAACTGGGACCGCCAGAGATTATAGTAGCCCTAAAAACATCAACATGCATATCGATAAATAATCTGGATTTCATTTACATGCAATTACAATAATAAAGTCAATAACGTTAAATACATAAATCTTACTTGTATCCTTTCTCTTGAAGGGTAAATGCAGGTGTATCGAGTGGCAGAATTTCACTGTGGACACTTAATTCACGAATCTTTCTGTCTATTACTTTTCCATATTGTGCCCCTGCGTCTAAAATAGCCACTCTTTCATCAACAATGTCCATGGGTTCATCAGCACCATTATTACTCTCGGTGCAAAACAGCAATCCATCATTTTTTTTCATTTCAATAAACCGTTTTTCCATTTCAATAACGTTTACTAATGTTAATATCGTTATATCACTAAACCTGTAACAAAACAAGAAAAAATAAAAAAAATGTAAAAAGAGCTAATACAAAAAAAAATGTGGAAAAACACCGAATACCAAACAATAAAAATGTTAAAAAAAACAATTTAAATTATAATAATATTCATCTCGTTTAATCATGTTATAAAAAGATAGTTCTATATCATCTACCTTTATTTAGGAAGAGTATGATCTTTTCATTTGCAAATACTATACATTGTTTCATTTTCTATTTAGAATTTCCGCATGACAATATGATCTTATGTATACTTTATATTAAACTTGTTCGATACTGTTTTTAATTAACATTTCTGTCTTATCATTAAGAAAAATATGGTTGTATTAACATGGAAAACTTGAACAAAATTAATGTATGTATATTTATTACGTTAATGTACATTTTAAATATGTACAAAAATTATCTTTTATATTGTTTCAAATTAAAGTTTGTACGTTCCTTATTAATTGTAAAAACTTTGCAAAACATATATAAATTTATACATAAATACGAGAGTAACTCAAATAGTAAAGAAACATTTAAGAAATCATATTCTTTAAAAGAAAGTCCCTTTACTTTTTTTACTTTTCCTTGTATTTGCAAATTGATATATTGACACATATTGTAATTCTTTGATATATTTTAGCAGCGAATAAATTTTTTTATATTTTACAAATTTATCTTATTCTATAAAACTCAAAAAAAAACTTCTTGTAGCATTTACACAATTTTTTTTTATTATATGTACTAAATAATGTTACATGTACAATGTTAATACAAATCATAAAATTTATGTGTGGTAAAATAAAAAATTTTTGTATAACAAAATAATAAATTTGGAATTAAAGTTTCATAATGTAATTATGGTTATGATTTTGTGAATATTCTCATGCTTACATATATTGCTTATATATATTGAGAGAATATTTTTCACTTCGATTTTTTTTTTCAAATTGCGAATTTTACATTTTCGGTACCGGTCTCGTAAAGTATATTGCTGCTTATATCTTCCCGTTAATCGTGCAATAACCTGACAAGCAGGAGACGAAAGATGAAAATGTTTCTGACCTCACACTCAAATGGACATCTCGATAAACTACTGTATGTTAGAATTGTTCGCCAATTCGACGGCTCGCTCGATACACCCCATACACGTGTCCGAAGATGCGCACGGAATCCCGCTCGCAGTTTCGGTAGTGCCCCACGAGCCACCAGTTAGTAATTTGATGAAAAACAAATCACCGGCCGTACGAGTGTACCTTAGCGGCACTTTTATACAATAGATCTATTATTACCGGTTATCTCGAGTCGTGTTTGATTAGAAATTGTCAACTGGCTTACCGGATCGTTCGACGGGACACACCGTTCGCGAAGATCACCGAATAAAGTAAAACTAATTACAGAAGAACAGAATGGACAGACATTAGACGAGGCGGCCATTCGATCGCCACAATGCAGCGCAATCATTGCCTGCCTTCAAGTGGCGGCCGCGAAAGCGCGCCAATCGTGCAATACAAAATTACTAGAAATTGCGAATGCAGGGTATTTGATTATAAGTGGGTTACGAATTGGAACTGATTGGAACGCTCACTTCATGTGCGACGGCAAAATGTCAACAACGATGCTTCCTAATGTTTTTCCCTACTTTTTCTTTAAAATAAGTTTTTCAGATGATAATTGTGAAGATATTTTATACTGAATATAAATGATTTTTACTATAATACGAGTTTCAAGAATGCAAATTGGAAATGATCTCGTTTATCGATTTATTCAGGTAAACTTTAACACCAATTTTATTCGTGGCTTATATTCGAAGGGTTTAATATGAAATTAAGGAAATTCACGATACTTTAGATTTGGCGAAAAAAATTCGCTCTGCTTCATGAAATTACTCAAGCAGTAATGTTGTATGATAGTAATGTATGAAAATGGCCCCTATTACAAGACAACCCGTTCTATCAATCATTCTGACATTCACATCGTGTGCAATAATGAGTTTCGCAATGTGCTTGACATAATGTTATATCATAACATAACGTAATTAATGTATGCAACATAAAACTATAGTTTTGAAATTATCAAGAATTTTAAGCGAAAAATATAAATTAAACATTAATGTTTTGTTTAAATTACAATGTAACTACAATGCAATATAAACGAAACAGATACATATAAATTTGTATAAGAATTTTAACAAGGCTTTAAATAGACTTAAAAGTATTATATCAAAATAAAATCTCATATTATAAAAGAAATGTCAAACTTGGGCCTTAATAATAAAAAATTATTAAAAATGTAAATTAGCTATGTTGACCCAGAGCCAGGTGTTAGATGCTCAAAAAATAATAATTAACCAAATTATCAATTCATACGTTTCGGCACATTTATTTCGGCCATCTTCAGTGATAACATAATAAACAGGTTTGAAACCTGTTGACATAAATAAATATGTGCGAAACCTGCATTTTTTATACGACGACTTTGCGTCGCAGTATTAATTAATTACTATTTTATGTTATATTATAATGAGCGTTCAAATTCTTTAACCGATATGCGTTGGCCTTGCGGAGCATATTTGTTTTTATTATTTCATGTTTCCTCTATAACGATTGTTTACTTTCTATTATGTTATCACTGAAGATGGCCGAAATAAATGTGCCGAAACGTATGAATTGATAATTTGGTTAATTATTATTTTTTGAGCATCTAACACCTGGCTCTGGGTCAACATAGCTAATTTACATTTTTAATAAAATCTCATATTATTGTCTCGCATGAAAGTTTTACATTACTTATTTTAATGTGCAATATTATGAATCATCTCATATCTCACATTTAAAATGACTCAGAATGATTAGTTCATTTCTAATTATTTATTAAGTCATTTGTCAAAAGAAATCACTTATAATTTTTGTATACAAGCGACTCTTATGCTTCTACTCGGCATTCTACTTGGAAATCTACTCGGCATAAAACAACTACTAATTCCACATATTCTAATGCAAGAACGAAAGGTACGATTATGAATGGCATTGCACACAAAGCTTGTACAAAATGCATATTTACATATCTTACAACTTTAATCACAGCTTGTTGATGATCCTCTGTTTTTGAGAGATGCTAAACCAACATAGACGCAAGTTACTTTAATGATCACCTTAGGCGAACGAAATAAGCATGTGCTCATGTCTCACGTCGCAAGTTCGTCAATTAATCCTTCCAGGATTAAATCTTTCTTCCGCTCATTCTATTCGCAGCATATGCAATTACAATCGATATGACATGTAATGACTATTTACAGAATATTTATGTAAGGAGAAGTCCGCCACACAAGGGCGAGTACAAACTATAAAAGAGATTTCGCGCTGAATCAGCATTCAGTTTTGTTCAGTACGAATTTCTAAGCGACAAGAAATATGGGCAAATCCAGTCTCTGTTTACTGGCCTTCCTAGCCGTGTTAGCCATTGGTGCCGCCGAGGACTTGTATGCGGATACATACGATCACATCGAACCTATGGAGATTTTGAATAACGATGAACTCCGAAATCAGTATTATAATTGCGTTATGAACACTGGCCCCTGCATGTCTGACGAACAGAGGTTCTTGAAGGGTATGACATTTTATTGTTTCAGTTTTAACTTTTTAAAAATATTTCTTATTTTAACATTAAAATATTATTAATTATAATAGTATTATTTTTTATGTGTATTCTCAACAGCAATAGTATTTTTTTAATAATTTTGTGTTATGCTTAAACTTGAAAGAATTTTGCGTTATGGAATACATACGGAAAATAAGTTGAAAATGTTTTCAATGATTTGAATTATTAAAACAAACACACGTTGCATTTTGCTTTCAATTAAAAAAATTTAATTAAAATTTTTATTTATGTGTTCAAAGAAATATATAATCTTAATGTATTGAATAATAATTCTCATTATAATAATAAAAAGCTTCACTGCTGCGTCTTCGTTAATTTTCAAAATGATTCCATTATTTTATATTATTTTTTATATTATTTCAAAATAATTCCAAGACTTTATATTTTGCAGAGCACGTCGCAGAAGCGATGGCGACGAGATGTCGTAGATGTACGGAAAGGCAGAAAGACGGTTTAGAAAAAGTAGTCGTGTGGTACACTGAGAACCGTCCTGAGGAATGGAGCGCTTTGGTAGTACATCTTATAGAAGAAGCGAAAAAGCAGAATATTACCCCGGTCAGCGGTGGTTTTATATAATACCTAAATAAAAAAAATATAATTTGTGATGTATGTTACATGTTTATAATAATTATGAGGTAAATAACAAACTTGCATATGTATAGTTTTCAAAGATAGCTACAATATGATATAAGCACGCGTAAGTAGAAGCAAAATTTAAATATATATATATATTTAAATTTTGTATATATATATATATATATATATATATATATATACACAATTGTAGCAATAAAAGAGCAATTTATAACTGACTGAACATATGTACTTCTCATTAAGTACATTTGCGTCGGCAATCTGCATCATATATCATAACAGAATATTTATATTTTTATCATCCAATATTTGTGAATTTTTGCTAAAACAACATGAACAGCGTCGCGTTGCACCGTGTCATCACGTGTTGTTCCCGCTGCCGTCGTTGTCACCGTCGTTGTTGCATCGCTGTCGCCGCCACCGCCGTCGTCAACGCATGCGTCGAAAATGTATTTCATTGCAGAGTATACAACCGGTTGCGGAGGGGTGACTTCGCTTCGCTGACACTAGAGAAATCATTTCGACTAGTCGTGGAATAATGCTCGTGAAGGAGGCGTTCCCGCTTAGTTTCTAATAGTATTATTGTACTCAATCGTACCTCTTCCGAGTCTCTCACGAACCGCGTCGCTTATTAACGAGGTAATCAATACAAGTGGTAAGGGGGTTACTACGGCGTGGGAAGGTGAAAACATTGTGACATGTATGTCATCTCGAATTCAGCAGTAATCCACAAAACCAACGAAAGTCTTCCTACATTTATCACGATGCCGTTAATACCGTGACACAGTGATAGTTATCATGGTAATATAGCCTATAATTAATTAATAATTAATACCGCTTTGCGACAATATTCCGCGACGACGGATGTGATGAAAACTGACGACGGGATTTACACTAATTCTATCGCTTGCATCACCGCGTGCACTCAAATTTGCTCACAAGTAACTCGAGCCTATCTCGAAATAGCAACACCCTTTTTGAATGCTACACATCCGAATTTCCATGCAACAAAGAAGCGAATTTCGTTCAGCGCGCGATTATTTTAATATTAATATATTAATATATCAATAGAAGAAATAATTTTAACATTGAATGAAAAAGTTGAAATATAATTAGATTTCCCGAAATTTATCCATCAGTTTGACCGTTTTTCTGTCTCACGCGATTACAAATGTGACAAAGGTGTATGCAAATGTTGCACGCGCTGTGATATAACGCAAACCGAATAACGAACGCGCAGTGACTCCGTTTTGAATAACATTTCTCATATTAATTGATTTTGCAGTAGAAAATAATACATGGTGTTACATTTGTATCAGATTATAAGTTGGTTGACGAGGAAATAAGAAAATATCTTCGAACAATAGAGGACATAGAGATAAGAATCCAAATATAGACACAAGGAAACAACCTTATGCAAATCCTCTCTCTATGAAATAGGTAGTTATAAATCTGAAAAATAATTTTAATGAAGAATAATTTTCCTTCTTGCACAATACATTTACGTAAGCGTTTAATGGTATTTTGTATCTCTTTATTTTAACTTTTTATTTGACTTATAAAATTATGCAAAATACGATTTTTTATTATATCACATATTTATCTTACTTGTCTTATCGCATAAGAGAGGCGGTGATTTTATGACTTGCCGACCACAAATCAGCTTAGATTGCTTGCAAATTAGTCAAGTTGAGGTTATTGCAGATAAACTTGTGGTTTTGGACACGATTATGATACTTTTAAGTAAAATAAATCTGTTGATGCTTGCAATTGATGCTGATGCTTTCATTTTAGTGTTTTGTTCCGAAGTCATGTAGCTGTTACATGATCTTTTTTCGCATACGCGATATAACAAATCAAGTGAAATCGAAGTTATTTTAGTTAATCTCTCGTGTGAAAAATGCTTGATGTTGAAATTTATTATATAAATATATAATATTGATTTTAAAATAATTAATTATACATTTATATCTTTTTTAATGCGTAAATTAATTTTTAATGCGTTTTTGTATAGCAGCATCCGGATTCAACACTTTACCTACGAATTGCGCTGCCTACAAAGCTTATCAATAGGCTTCCGGTAGTAAAGTGTTATAAACAAGAGAAAATGCGTTATTTCTCAATTAATGAAGAATAAAGAAGATGCTCATATGCACCACTGCCCGAAAGATGAGAAAACGAATATTGTGGTGCGCCTTCGCCTTCGCTGTTGTGCTCCTTATATTTATGATTTCGACCGAGAATAATATCATCCAAAGGATACCGTTTTTGGATGTAACAACAATCAACGATATCAGATGCTACGATGAAATCTCGACCACGGAAGGCATCCGTGATTTCGATCTGGAATCAAGTGAGATAATTATGACTATTTACATTGTTACATCCACATAATGGAAAATATAATATATTTTTGTTATCATATATTTCAAGAATGTAATTTTTTTTATTAATTTATAATTCGTACGACAGTTTTTGATATTTTTTTTACACTTTAACGTTTTAACTCTGGTTAACTGTGATTATTCTATGCAACGTGATTAAGAATGTAATGTGATTGAAAAAATTAAAGTTGATTATTCACAGTACACTCATGCAGGAAATCATTCAAATTCACTCAAAAAAATATTTCGCTGATGTAGTTATATTTCTAGATATCGCAACAAGAATGTATCGCTATTTTTCGTATCTGTGAAAACATTGTTTGTCACATATAGAATTTATAGCAGTAATGTTCTAGCAATAGCTTCTGAAAAATTTAAGTACCATTGCTAAATGTTATTCATTGCATGATCTAACACGTGATTGATCTTATATAGATAGCCGCTTTAGAGAAACTTTCTTTTTAAAGTTCACAAACAATACAGATATATATTCTGTTTCTGTCATCTAAACTGATTAAGTAATTACATATGCAATATCACAACAGTTGCTAATCATTTATCTGTTTTACTTAATTTTTTACACCTAGAAAATTTTAGCTATTATTGCAAGATCATTTTTTTGAGTGTTAATGATTGCTTTAGTATATGTTCAATATGCAGCAACGCAATATTATCGTCGTAATACAACCGCATGAAACACATAATTTACGTTTGTAAAATAACTACATGCCAATTTTTTAGATAGAAATATACTGAAAGATGCGATGAAATCACGCGACTTTGGAGCAATAAAATGTTATATTGAATTAAATCTTTTTTGTACAGAAATCTATATATATATATATATGCTCATGCAGTTGTCTCGTATAGTTGCACTACGGCCGATAATATTGCGTTACTGCGTATGAAATATATATCGCTAATAATGAACTTGAATGATTTCCTGTACGAGCGCACCATGAATAATCACTTTATATACATATAGAGATATGGAAATATAGATGACAATAATATTTTATTTTATAATTTTACGTAGTCATTTAAATACGTAGCCATTTAAATACGTAGTCATTTAAATACGTAGACTACAGTGGGAACGAAAGGGTTAATTTTTGTATAAAAAGTTTAGATTTGTCTTGTCCTTTTATTTCATCCTTTCTCTCTTTGTCTGATTCCGTACAATTAGATAATAGTAATATTCACACAATACTAGATTTATTTTCACGTTTACCTAAATTTAAACCATATTTTTCCGTATTTGGTGCTTCAAGTTTAAGGGCGTCCGCAGGATTTTTTCTAGGGATGGGCATAATACAAAATATTATTTTTCGAATTAGCATACAATATATATAATTTTAAATTAATACACCTCTTAGTTGTAAAAACTTTCTCACCGCGACAAGGTAGGTGTAAGTCGAGAAAGACATTTGTATTTTTTTTTTACTTTTTTATATTTTGTTTAATATGCAATTTGGACGACGTCTTTGATCAATACAACAAAAAACGGGAGAGTAAATGGATTTAATAAAAACGCGTGAGTAAATGCTGAATTTTTTTTCTCTGATTCCAGGGGGGGCAAATGCCCCCTCTTGCCTCCCCCTGTGGACGTCCATGTTCAAGTTGTTTCCCGCATTACTGTTGAATATACAATTTAATGTAGCAATAAGATTTCATTGAAAAGAATTAATTTTTAAGAAAAAATTAATCTTAAAATTAGGGAAATTACATTTTCTTATGTTTCTTGCGGTTAAAACACAAAAAATTAATATATTTTAGCATCTTTAAAATCATTAAATACATTAATATACGAAAATCTTAATGCCAGAATGTATAGCAATGCCAAACTATAGCAGCCTTGACATTTTGGATTAAGATTTTCGTCCCTAAGTGACTTTATAAATCTGCTATTATCGCGTGTAATGGTAAGTCTGGGACACCCTGTATATCTTTAAGAAAATTGCCTAAACCATGTTATTTTCCAGGTACAGATAAACCGGTTCCAGGTAGAAATATTTTCTTTCACGAAACTTCCTGTTTTGGGGTGGAAGGTCTCGTGCTGAACGCTCGACAAGCATGCGCTGTGGAATCAGCGGCGCGAATGAACCCAAAAATGATGGTCTATCTATTGTTCGTCAGCAAATCAGATTTTTCGAATGGTACACGTGAAATCATTAGGCATCTACTCAACTATAGCAACATCAAGATACGGCATATCTATCCGGAGAAATATGTGAAGGGCACCCCGTTGGAAGCATGGTATACCAGCGGGGTGCTAAAGAAAAGCCACTGGCCTGTCAGCCACATGTCCGACATGCTACGTTACTTAACTCTATGGAAATATGGCGGTATCTATTTGGATTTGGATGTGGTGGTTACTAGCTCGCTTGAGAATCTAACAAATTTTGCTGGCGCCGAAGACTGGGACGACGTTGCCGCCGGTGTCATGGGCTTTGATATGTCGAAACTGGGTCGGCGCATGGCCGACGCCTGCATACGCGACTTCAAAAGGAATTTCCGTGGCGATGTGTGGGGCAACAATGGGCCCGGAGTTATCACGCGGACGCTGCAGAAGCTCTGCGCGACGACATACGTGAGTATTGAAAAAGGTTTTAGAAACTATATTAATTTTATATTGGGTTGAACGGAAAGTTTGTGCCGTTTTTTGCTAAGAGAATGCTAAGAGAATGCTAAGAAAATGCAAAAAAATTTTTTCTTTTTTTATCTTTTTCTGAGTTTGCGTTGCATTCTTGCCTTTTTTGAAGTAAAAAAGTATAATATGCCGAAAATGCACATTATTATTGGCCATCTTTCAATTTATACCAAACACTTACAACACAACTAATCTTTAAAAAAAATTTTTTTAAAATGCGTATCGGAATGTCAGATGTCGAATGATATAAAGTTAAGACAATTGGAATAAAGTTAGTCACATGTATTTATAACTAATGCTATCTCTTAGCAAAAAAACAAAACGAACTTTCCGTTCAACTCAATATATCTACAGAAGTGGATTAATATCATTGGCTCGTTAAATTATGATACTTCCAAGTTTAAAAAAAAAAAGAAAGAAAAAGAAGAAAAAAGTATTTTTCTCGTTTGATAAATATTAATAACTCAGATTGTCTTTAAAGGAAAAAGTGTGAAGGAGTGAAACAGATGACTTTAAGAATTATTTATGGGCGGATAAATTACTTAAGGATGTGTGAGTTTGAGTTTAGTCATTTTGTGTAAGCGTAATATCATATTTCAGTGACAAATTAATGAGAGTACAAGGTTGAGTATCCGACTTCATAGCGTGCGCACGAACATGTACACGATACACACATGCATTAAGAATTATAGGTTTACTAAGCTCTTATTTAAACAAGCGAGACACAGCAATGGCGTACAAAGAATAAAGTTCTAGAGTGAGAGACTCACGCTCGTTAAATTGAACTCGCTAATATCGTCCGGCGGATATGGTTCATTATGTTCTTAACAAGAGATTAAAAATACGAATTTAATCTACAGTCCATTGAATTTGCTAAAAAATTCGTATACCTAATAAATTTTTATCAATCTGCCGAAATATGAAGAATTATTTTTAAAAAATAAAGAGCTTAAGAGCCAACAGCCTATCATCAGACCGAAAAATTTGTAATTAATTATTGTTAATACACACATTTTGGTCAATCTGACTGTTGGCTCTTATGGTCTTTACTCATTTTTTTATATAATCGATTGTTAAAATCGTTAGAGCTTTGTCTAATTTGAATAATTATGTATAAAGAATATGCGTTGTCGCAAAAAAGTGTTTAAAAAAACCAATGACGCGGTTGATTTCTGTGCGGTATTTTACATTTTATGCAGACAACGTGTAAATATCTGCGTCTCGAAGTATACGAAATGTATTATATATGACGTAAATAGCAAATCTCAAGCACAGATACTTCTGATAACGAATAATAGTGCTATAAATAACAATGTATAGTGCCACTCCTTTGCACCTCCTCATATTTAAAGCTTGCAACTCTTTATTTGCGTTATATAATGTAAACATTTATTTATGCATTTATTTTACGTGCATATTTGTGCATGATGTAATTATTAATAATCCATTTTTTTTTAGTTTTCTTCTATCTCTATTATATATTTTTATCAATTATATTTTTACTTTTATTATTTCATAATTATTATAGCTCTTTTTAAAAATTAATATTAAGCCTTTTTCTCTAACCGATACAATACTTATTATTTATTTATTTTATAAAAATTAAAGATTAAAAATATTTCTATATTAACCAAGTGTTTCTATATTTTTTTATAGGCGCGCGATATGACGACCAATCGTTGCCATGGCTTTACGGTATATTCGCCATCGATCTTCTATCCGATTCATTATAAGAAATGGAAGAAGTATTTCGAGAAGAAAGACAGCAATGCAACACTGAAAATATTGAGCAAAGCAAAGGCGATTCACGTATGGAACAAGTTGAGTAAAGCCGAACAGGTGCGAGTAGACAGCAATGTGCCATATGCCGTTATCGCGCGGAATTATTGTCCGCATACTTTTAATAATTGCGGCAAAATATTTTGAATCTAAGCACATTGCGATCAAAGAAACATTGTTCTATAGATAAAATATTGGAAAATTCACACACGCGGCCTCTATAAATCGCATTTATCTTTGTGCAGTCAAAAGAATAACGACGTACTCACCGTTTGCAGATAAAATGCATTTAATGAGACAAAGGCTGATTTAGAAAAATATTCTAATCACCCGCGATACTTACATAAGCATATAAAGAATATATTTATTACAATAATCTCTAATGGAAAGACCAGCGCCATTTTATGTGTAAACTAAATCACTATAAATCATCGCGGCGACGACAGGCATTAAATAATAAATCGCTGTGACATGCAATGTAATATAGCTGTAATTCATGTCTCGTATTTTTAGAGATGATGGAATGATCTCGATATAAGATGTTGATATGTATTCTATTGATTGTTTGTTTTTCTCCTGGCGTGGAGATAGAGAAGTCTATTTTTACACTTCAAGAGTTGCATTCTTCGCCTTCAGATTGTACCATAAGCGTAAAACTTTTGCCTATCTGCATCATGCAAATTTCATAAAATTGCTTTATAAAGTTCTCATTGAAACAAACTTTCTATAGTTAAAAATTTCTCAACTGAATTCTTTTACTGAATGAATTTTCTTATAAGAAAGAATTGCATAAATATGATTTACTAATCTTTACGGTAGATTGTCTTTATTGAACGAGTTTTTATATTGAATTGTCCTCGATGAGAATAAATCTCCGCAGTGTTTTGAATGCAATATAAAAAATTGGTAGCCGTATATCAATGGTTACTCTAATCGTTCTAGTCTACTTGGTATATGAGTAATATATTGGTTAATATATTTATGCACTAGTACAAGATTAAAATATTTAATCCAATGCCAAATCAAATGCTCAGCATAAAGTTTAGCAGTGTGTAACTTTTGTTGATTATTTTTATTTATATTTGTAATGCGATAAAAGATTTTCCGCAAATTAAATGGACCCAAATACGAAATGGATCAAGTATGGATTAGTACAAATTCTTACAGACAATTGTTATTAATATAAAAATAATATCAATATTTTAATATAGAATAATAATATTATATATAATATAATATTAGTATATTAAAATTAATAATTATTATTTAATATTGTATTATTCTAATATAACATGTCAAGTTCATTTTATCTATAAGAATTTGGGAGAATTAATTGCAATTAGAGTATGGCACTTTTCATTTCATCATTTTTAATATGCCTTTTCTTTTTGAATTTTTTAACATATATTTTAACGTCTCTCCGTATTCACATTCTTGTGAAAATGTTCTAATTCCATATAATTAATATCTATATTTTCCTGAAGCCTAATTGACTTTTCAAATAAATGCCATAGAAATTTGTTGATAAGACTAATTATGTATCGTAGTATTAAGATCAAAAGTATAATACATCAAATAAGTTCAGTATTTAAAAGGCAAACAAATCTGCGTGAGCTTTGGAATTTAATCATTTCTAGTATTTTACACACATAAAACTGTAATATAAATACCATAAAATAACAAATCGACAATTGATAAATATATATTTTTACTAATGCGCATTATTTCAACAAATTTATTCTATAAGCTACATAGGGCGGTATTCATAGTCCGTTCTTATATTCAAGATCGTCTTAAGCACGAACTTATATTCGCTCTCTTCGTCAGACACAATCTATGTGTGACGAAGAGAGCGAATATAAGTCCGTGCTTAAGACAATCTTAAATATAAGAACGGACTATGAATACCGGCCATAAATTTTATAAACTTTACAAACACGTCGATAAAGGGGAAAAATTTAAGTTAAAGAAGTTTTAAAAATTGTGTATTTTAAATGTACAAAAAAATGTTTGTAATACTCAGGACTTAATATTTAAATCTATTTTTACAAAAATATGTAGCATAAATGGTAAATGTTATATAAAGAAGCGATAAGAAATTTTTCAGTTAAAAACTGTATTGAATTGTAATATAACGTTAAATTTACTTAAAAGAACCAGTATGTAATCGATTTATTTCATTGTTGCATAAATATTAGATAATATATGCACAAATGATATATTCTGTGATTATCAATCAAATGGAAATTCTTTATTTTTCACCAAAAAATATTCTTTACCTTTCTTTATTTCATAATAATGCAATCTTATCATGAATGCCACGGCTATGACCACCTCATCGCATCCAACAAAGATATTGGCCGGTATTCATAGTCCGTTCTTATATTCAAGATCGTCTTAAGCACGAACTTATATTCGCTCTCTTCGTCAGACACAATCTATGTTTGACGAAGAGAGCGAATATAAGTCCGTGCTTAAGACGATTTTGAATATAAGAAGGGACTATGGTCGGTATTCATAGTCCGTTCTTATATTCAAGATCGTCTTAAGCACGAACTTATATTCGCTCTCTTTGTCAGACACAATCTATGTGTGACGAAGAGAGCGAATATAAGTCCGTGCTTAAGACGATTTTGAATATAAGAACGGACTATGAATACCGCCCTATGAATACCGCCCATTCAATATCGACGATACTTTTGTAAGTCTGCCAAGGTTGCCTTTAGATGGCACTCTAATAACATCGATAATGTCAAAAACATTTTTGTTGACAGTTTTTATTTTTTGTGATTACACTTTAAGGTTAACTTTATCTACAATTCATGAAGTGATTAATATTTATGCGTAGGAAGAATGGCATTAATTATAATTTCGATATTGAGTTAACGATGTTAATAAAATTTTATGTAAGCTTCAAGAATGAAAAGTCATATGTTTAATTGAGCAAGACTTAATATAAGGTTATGTCGCCAGTGAATGACAATGTAAATAGAGAAAGAAAAAATGATAAAAAAAATGCTGATATCTTGCTCCGATCGTTATATGCGTAATTGAATGATGCGATTTCTATTCAGTTCCCGACTAGATTGCCGTGATTGCTCAATGATTATCGATGTTCACGTCGAAACTCGATTTTTTAACTGTATCCAATGCTGACCGCGTCCATCGCACAACTGCTTCGTGTTACAAAAACATTCAAAACGCGATTGTCTTCACAAACCTCGATCATTTTTCTCTCACGTTCACAGTATAGCACGCATATTGGACAATTAGGTATGCTGAATTCTACAATGGCCAAACAAATCTTTCAGGGCCATAGTGATCACTATAATGGCATTACGATCGACTCAGGCGAGGAGGCGTGCGACAATAAAGTATTTGTACAGCGTCTCAAAGGTAGACGCATTTTATTTTTTTTATCATTCTTACTCATAAATAATTGTTTAGAAGAAAAATATCATTAAATGTTATACAAAAAACTGCAAATTACTGAATTGCTAATGTACTTTATGAAGCATTTATTTGTAATAAAGCATTTATAGCTTGAAAACTGTTTCTCAAGTGGCATTCTTTATTTTATTTTTTTTATATACTATTAGAACAAATTAAAAAAGGTGTAATGAAAAAAAGACGGCATCTTACTAAGCAAATTTAATATTATAATAAAATAATAAGGAGTTAAATGCATACAATTTTCGAGTATTTTTATAGATTCATTGGAACAATGGACAAAAGATAAAAAGCGCACTATATGGTTTCGCGTACACATACCACATACAGAATGGGTTCCTATGTTAACAAAACAGGGATTTATCTTTCATCATGCAAAAGAAGAATACGTCATGTTATATCGCTGGTTGCCTACTGATGAAGAATGCAATGTTCCAAAATATGCACATACGTACTTAGGTGTTGGTGCATTTGTATTCAATAAAGATACGAATGAAATTCTTGCTATTAAAGAGAAATATGCTCTCAACAGAGCAAGTTGGAAGCTTCCAGGTGGCTATGTAGAGCCAGGTATTTTGATAAAAGCTATTATATTTGTTACATGATATTATAGCATATATATATATATATTTGTAATTGTAGGAGAAAATATTGAAGAAGCAGCTAAGAGAGAAGTTTTGGAAGAAACGGGAATTCAGACAAATTTCAAGTGTTTGATATCTTTTAGGCATGGACATGATTTCTCTTTTGGATGCTCAGATATATATATGATTGCATACTTGACACCTCAGAATTTCGAGATACAAAAATGCAAGCGAGAGATTTCAGAGTGCAAATGGATGAAGGTGAAAATCACAAGACTTTTTTCATATATGTAACCAAAACTCAACTAAAAATATATTTTCATAGAATTTTTATGTGATTTAAACAAAATATGTCATAATTGCTTGTATTACAATATTAATGTGCAGCGCCTTAATCTAAAATTGTTACACAATTGCTTTAATAGATCTTCCTCCTTTTTCAGTTGAGTGAATTCTTACAGCATCCAGAAGTACATGCAAACAATAAAACTTTAGCAACGAAAACAGTGAACTTTCTTCAACATCAAATGGGTATGGTGGCAAATTATGGAATACATCCTATCACTAAAAAACAAATATGCGTGTACAGTGTAGAAAATACAAATATTGAACCTACATCTATAGAATAAACTGTTCTCTGTAGAAAAAAAATCGATACATTGTATAAAGCGATAGAATTTTTAAGCAATATATAAGAGAAATATACACTCTTGTTACTGCCATACAAGCAAATGCGTACAAGATAATAAATAATATTGTTGAATAGTACAATGTTAAGTTATTAAATATAAATTAATTTTTTGACTAATACATTGCATTTTAATAAATCTCAACAAGGGTATACTCATCTTATATCTATCTTTTAGATCTATATTTATAAGATCTTTACAAGAAGCGAGTCTTGCATTGCAGTATATACATATCTCTTTACGCAGATCTCATTTTTCAGTTGGAATATAAATAATATCAATTGTAATTTAGTCGTAATCTCAAGTAATCTCACTGAAATCTTCCTACAAAACTAATGAGATAAGAAAAATTGTCTAAACACAATCTTTGCCGATCGTTATTTTACACAGATTGTCCTTTATGAAATCTGTTTGTTTATTATGGAATTTATTGTCAAAAGTATTACTACTGTGGCTGTAATAGGTGGCATGCAGTAATGGAAAAAGGATGGATATGGACTTGCCATCATTGCAAGGATGATCCAACTTATGAAGCGTAACAGAAGGCTTAATGTAAACGACCAATATCCTTTACGATTAGGAGAGATTTGTGCAGTATCCAGTGTACCACTAGTAGCTAGTATTGTCCAACTTATTAGAAGTACAGGATCTTCTGTGCTGAGTCTCATATCATAACTGTAATAAATAGATCAATTCATCCCCGTTAATAGATATTACTTTACAGAAAATTTTAACAGACCGTACCTGAAATTCTTCGCCCAGACTAAAATAGATGGAATCGCTGGAAGCGCTGCAAAGTTCCATAACAAGAATAAGATGAGATGATCATATACATTTTGATTGCTGTTTTCATTCTCATCTTCTCTGCCCCTTATGCTCTTTAAACGTTTAATTATATTGAAATGTTCAAGCGAAGTCAATAATACTTTCTCCAAATAATCTTCGTACATCCTTGTCAGTTTCAAATAGTACAGGAATACCGAAATGAGCATAGCTAGAGCCCCGCATGTTGCAGGAATTATAGACAGTATGAAGATGGTTGTTGACAACGGCACTTGGTATAAACCACTCAGTAACCAGTCTGACCACATTGTTGAAAAAGCTATTGCACGTGCTAAAAACCTATAAAAAGTGCAAAACTAAAGTTATTTGAACCTACTGATATTAAGCTGTTTTGATTTACTGTTGCTTCTCTCTCTCTCTCTTTGTTTAACAATGTTAAAATATCTTTATTTCAAATGGAAATAGAAAATCTTACTTGACAGCTATTCCATGTGCGACAGAACCGAAAAATATGACAGAGCAGCATGTGGAAACGGCAGCTATTGTGATGATACATACAGCAATACGGGCTTCAAAAGTAACGTTGAATAAAACGGTCAATACTATCGTTACGATTATTGTCGGTACTGTGTCTGAATTAAGATGCACTCTAATAGAGATGAGAAGGATAAGTAAACTGATAATCGCCATGTAAAGTGACGGCCAATGATCCCGTATCCTACAAGAGATCTCGTCGATGATTCCTTCTGATTGAATCTTAATCGTGTAACTGCATTCTGGATCTAATGTCAGTCTTAAATTTGCTATTTCATCAGAACGTCTACTGGGAGTCTGTAGCTTCATCATTTTCGGATTATCATCCCTGCAAAATATCTAATGTAAAACGGTTTTGTCTATATAAAGCTAAATTTATCGCGATAAAATGTACACTTACGCAATCGTGAAAAATCTCGATTGAATCGATCCTACATTCCACGGCTCTATTAATTCGACAATGGCATGGTGTTTAGTACAATCGTGCGACTTCAAATCAACAGTCATCACATTCGTAAATTTTAAAAATTGTACAAAGTATCTTGTGTTTCCCTTGGTGGTTTCGAAAGAATAAGTGCGAAAAAAATGTTTAGGTTGAAAGAATCTATTCCTCGTTGATTCGATTTGACTATTGTAAGAATAAGAGTCAAAGCTGACTGTAAGATAATCATCCAAATCATCTGAAGTTATTTTTACAATAGCATGTGTAACATCCAAATAATTGATCTCTTTTAGATTTAAATCAATTATTTTTCTTGATCGATGTAAAGGATTAGGTAAAATTCTCGTTTTATTTGTCAAATTCCAACCCCATTCGCTGAAAAATACATATAAACGTTTATTGATATATAAATTTTTTCTAAAATATGTAAATATGTAATTTAATATATTACCAAATTTTTCCTTGATCGTGCCTTTTGAATGCTTTACACACAAAGAGCCAATCCTTATTTTCCAAATTTATTGTATCAATGGTTAAGAAATCAAATTCATGAAATAGTTTCACTGCCAGATATATAACAGAGGATTTTTTATATACATTCTTATTGGTCCAAACATACTGCTGATGTACAATGTTCACCCATTCGCTATCAGTTTCAAACTGAACTTTTTCCTTATAATGATATAGTTTCTTGCCTGAAGTATGCTAAAATGGCAGTGTTGCATTAAAATTGTGTTGCTGTAAAGATTAATGAACAATTACGACTTACTTGTTGAAAATGATAAGACAGGGCTTGCATCTTCAAAGTGGAGTTTGATGTAATTTTCAGCGGTTTCTCCAAATAATCCACAGAATCAAATAGTGAGCGAACAATTACAAACACTAGTTGCTTGCACCATAAAATGCTCAAATGATCCGTGGATTTCCAAACAGTTGGTATACTCGTGGAGAGAACATTAATGTCTGCTGTGGGATCAAATGTTTGAGTAGCAGTTACCATTATATCGCGCGGTCCACCTCCAATAGATACTACTTTTACTCCTGCATCTTTAATTTTATGTAAATGACTTTCCAATTCCAAATAATAGTTGGCAAAAACATGATCAAGAACTAAGGCAGGGGTGTTGGGAGTAGCCAAGTTTATTATCATACTAGCAAACGAAGTATTCATATTGGGTGCCAGTAAAAGTGCTCCTTTTGCTATGATACCACCCTGAAAAAGATATAATAAATTAATTTCTCAATCACATTGCAAAATATATACTTATTTCTTACCATAGAATGGCCAATCAACACAACATTGTCCATCTTGCCCTTGTACAAAGCTAATATTGCCTTTATACAATGTGAGACGTACTCAGTTTGTTCCATAAGTACACCTTAATTTTAAATTAAAATGGTAATTAATGTTATATGCATAAGTAATTTTAATAAATTTATTATTTATAATGTTTGTACCTCCGTAAAATGCAGAATAATCCTTATTGAATGAAACAGTGAAAAAATCAAAATGGAAGGGATACCTTCGACTTTTTTTTAAACTTACTGAAGCAATAGATCGTACTAAAAGAAAGGAACAATGTTAGTATAATAATAAATATCTATTATTCAATAAAAATTAGTTTTATTAGCATGTATTAATAAGGGGAGTTAAACCTTGTTCATGAGATCCACCATTGCCTGGTATGAAAAGAACTGGTATTCCAGAAAAATGCATTCTTCTCAATTTTTCTGTTGCGTAGCCTTCTCCATAAGCGTACAGTCCAAATCGTGGATATTTCTCTTCTATATCATTTTTCAAAGATACTCGCTGAAATAATTTAATAATTTATTCCAAAAGTTACATATATGTCCAAAATATTTCTTTTATTTTCTATAAACAAATTCAACTTTATATCTTGATAAAAAAAAACAAAATAAGTAAGACCTGTAAGTTTAGTTACAGTAAATGAACAATTACAGCATAATTGTGTAAGGATAGACACATAAAACAAATAGATAATTAAAGTTAAGCATATTACCCAAATATGTTCCTCACATCTATATAGCAATTATCTTTGATAATTTATAAACTTATACAAAGAATTTAATTGAAATTGTCATTCATATTCGACTATTTACGTACCACATATTGCGGATATTCGAACATATATGTCATGTCGCATGTATTTTCTTCATAATCGGTCATGTATTTTACAACTCCAAGAATGTAGAGTATAGTAGCCGTTATAAAAATCACCGCAAATGCAATAGAGAGCATTAGCCACTTTATCGAAACCATTTTGAATAATATTTCTAAGTATCTTAAATCTTTAAGTAGAAATACTGATATTTATTACCGACATTTAAGCGGCTTAACAGACATTCTGTCCTTCAAAACGTTCGGTACATAATTCGATTTTGTTAATTGCAAGTTAATCGAAATCAATTGAAGTATATAAAACACTCTCTTCCCGAAAAATATGATACAAAAAATGTGCAATACGAACAAAAATCATGTATACTGAGATAAATCCTTGTTACTTTTATAAAACTGAAAATATTAAGAAATATTAAGGTTACGACTTGAGTATTCCAATCAGTTTACGTATAGAAAAACACAAGTTCGAATGAAATTCTAATCATGCGCAGTATGTTTATTCGATAGAGGGGAAGTCGGAGAATACAGGGTTTGTTCTTTTTAGCTGCATTTTAATTTTTGGTCATATGATGTTTTATAACGCTGAAATTGAGCGTCGAGCGTCAGCGTGAAAAGGCACGTAGAATCCGTTTGTGCATCCACCATTGATTTGGTTAATCAGGTGTTATCATATGTATGTACAGAATTCAGTGAAGAGAGCATGTAACAGAAAGAGACAAAACAATTTAAATGCTCTCTTTGTCTGACCGCATCTTGAGCAGCACGGCACTTTCCAGTTTGCATAGGCCGGTATTCATAGTCCGTTCTTATATTTAAGATTGTCTTAAGCACGGACTTATATTCGCTCTCTTCGTCACACATAGATTGTGTCTGACGAAGAGAGCAAATATAAGTCCGTGCTTAAGACGATTTTGAATATAAGAACGGACTATGAATACCGCCCATAGTCCGTTCTTATATTCAAGATCGTCTTAAGCACGAACTTATAGCGTTTTCGATTATACAGGATTTGAACGACCCAGGGTTGATCAATCACTATTTTACTATAAATGCAAGTCTTTCATTGGTGGAGAGGTTGCAATGACGTCATTAACCAATCGTATAACTTCGTATAATGTATGCTATACGAAGTTATTACGGGATTTGAACGACCCAGGGTTGGTTAATGACGTCATTGCAACCTCTCCACCAAT